TTTTTTTTTTTTTTTTAAAAAAAAAAAAAAAAAAATAACAGTAGTCCGTGGATGACCTTTGGCCAGAGACAGGACCACTCAACACTGCAGCAGCACAGGTGTACTACAAAACGCATTCTGCAAGTGCTGACTAAAGTTGCAGCCAACAGATGTCGTGGTCCGTAACCCCAGCAGCATGGTTGCCCACTCCGCCACTTCAAAAGCAGTGGTCGCCAGCTACTTGACCTGTTGTGACGTACGTCATCTGTTAGACAACCTCGACTGCCAATTAAATTTTAAATCCAACCATCCGTTCCATTACATCCAGCCGGAGGCGACCTTGATATTGTTTCAGCACATGGTTATCTGCACGCAACATGAGCGCCAGAGTATCAGTACCAGACCGAGATCGAGAGATCAAATCGGAAAAATCTCTACCGCTACCAAAGTGTTCCCCAACACCTGGGCGCGTTTGCTCATGGCAGTGATTCCTACTACGTACCCGTCCCCCCTTCCCCAGAGGTTTTTCCGAGGGGTCGAGTTGTCAGATCAGAGAAATCACAATGACAGTTGGTGAGGCCGGCCGAGTTTCTTTCCTGGACTTGGAACTTTCTCTGTGGTAAATAGCACGAACTACTAGTGCTAGAGGCCCCTGCTCACTAGTTTGGACAGGCAAAGACGACAGAGGAAGACGAAGGCGTGGGGCTTGGGCACGCGGCTCGCAAGGATGACTGTGTTGTGATGAGAGAAGCTGAGGTTCTCGAGTTGCAACACAGGCTGCTTTTAAAGGCTACGCTAGCGATTACACCACAGGACACAGGTTTTATGACTCGGGACTCGGTGACGGAAGAGTAAGAAAGAAAAGGAGAAAGAATAAGAAGTACTTTAAAAGGAAGAGGCGAGAATGAGGCGGAATGACGAGAAGTGGACGTGGGTCATGGGGAATAGTTGTGTGGACAACTAGTGGAAGAAGGAAGAGCACCGATAATTACATGACTTGGTGGAGTGGGGAAGAAGAAGAGAAAGGTGGGCGACGAAAAGAAGAAGAAGGAAGCGATGAGGGAAAAGTGTTGACCTAGGGACAAGAACAACCAGTAGCGAAAGATGAAGAAGATACGAAATAGTGGTGTGGACGACGAAATAGAAAGAGAAGGTTGGCAAATGAAATAGAGAGATGTGGGGGAAAAGGTTTACCTGTGGGTATAGAAGCAGTCCGATTTACGGCAGGCCTTCTGAGTGTATTTCTATCCTGGACTCGCAACTTTCTTCAACCAATAAGATCTCATAGAGATCACGTGAGGGCCCAATGGTCTAGACGTATGATTCTCGCTTTGGGTGCGAGAGGTCCCGGGTTCAATTCCCGGTTGGGCCCTTTCTTTTTGTGCTTTTGCATTTGGGGGGAAACCCCTGAGCTTTTTTTTTTTTTTTTTGTCGCGCCCTGTTTGTTGCTGGCACCTTTTCTATTCATCGCGGCCCACTTGTCGCTCCAATTGTCGCTCTCTGTAGGCACCCGCATCCCCCCAGCTCCGGGAACAACAATTTTAATGTCCTGAACCCACAACACGGGTAGCCCGAGATGGAAACCATTCACCGTACTGCCGACAACATCGTTGCAAATTGTTGCCTTGGGACGAGACGTCTCCATATGATGGAGAGGGGAGGAGGGATCAAGTTTATAGAGTCGTAGGTCGCTGGCTAGAGGACGACCTTCGCGCGCGAAAAGTCACGTGGAGTAATGAGGAGGAGCCGGCCCTTTGGCACCAACACTACGTCCGTTTCTCTATAGACACGACTTTAATATTATTTTTTTCTTCCATGCACGCGGCTATAGGTGGCGAGCCCATGGTTAATGTATCCGACTAACAGTTGGTTTGATAAGGACCCTTCTACACATTAAGCACCCTTCTACACATTAATCTCTCTTCCGACACACTAAGCTCCCGTCCTACACATTAGATATGTAGAAATACTTTAACCTAAAACCAGCCCATGTCAAGGACCTTTGACAACAAAAACGAGAGGGAGCGAGAGGAGAAGCTGTTTCGGACGGGGGAATAGTGCCAGATAGTAGTAGTAGATGGTTATCCTTAGTATTGTGTGTGTCAGCGTGGGGTGAGCGTGTCCTACTCTTTTTCCTATTTCTCTGTTTCTCTGCGCTCTAGCAACTGTCCTTCGTGTCTGGTACAGCTGTAGCCCGCGGGTCGTAAATATGGGCCAACATCAAGAAAGACCAGGTGTTTGCTTCACTTTTGCCATACCAGCCGCCTCCATTTGGTCGTGTGCTTACTTTTCTGTTCTCATTCTTGTTTTCGTAGAATACCACTCTTCCCCCCATTTTTACGAGTTCAATCCGGACCCAACCAACTGGTGTGTGTGTGGGGGTGGAAAGTCGTTTTTTTTTTTTTTTGAAATACTATGCTCCTTGGCTAGTCAAAAACACTGCCCTAGTGCCCCAGTGCCTGTGCGTTGCGTG